TTTTTATTCGGATTTCTTCTAGCTGGTACCCTTCGGGCCTCCTGAATGTGGTCACAAGTTTTCTTCAGCTCTGGAAATGTTGTAGCAATGATGTCTTTGACAGTTTCTTCTTCATCGAGGTTTTCTTCCTGTCCCTCTGGGACTCCAATAATTCTTATGTTACCCCTCTTGGCTTCATCACGATCTTCTCTTGCCATCTGTTCCCGAATTGTGAGTCTCTTTTCCATTTTCTGCTCTTTTCGGGAGAGTCTCTGAACTTCATCTTCGAGCTCACTGATTCTGTTCTCAGCCGCTGTTACTCTGCTGCTGAGGCCTTCCACTGAGCTTTTCAATTCTCCTACGAGATTTTTCAGGTCTGACATTTCTGATTGCATTTTCCTCATTTCTGCCTTTAGATCCTCTTGTCTTCTATTGGCATTGCTTTCCATTGTTTCTTTTAATTCCCTAAGCATCCTAAGTAGCTCCCTCCTGAATTCCTTGTCAGAGAGGTTGTCTAACACTACAGTACTGTTGGTGTCATCTGGGCTAGACTCTTCAATATGAATGTTTGGTGGGCTTTTGCGTTGCTTTACCATTGTGAGAGGTGTGGTTTAGTCCTTCACGTTCAGTGTTACTATTCTGCTTGATATGCAGTGTGAGTTAAGATAGGCTTATGAGTTATTGGCAACTGTATTTCTAGTGGCTGAGCTAAAATAGAGAAGTTTCCATCTAAGAAGTTAGCTTATGGTTCCTATGGCATATGTAGTGGGAAAATATTTCGCGGCCACGTCAGCAGCCGCGGCTCCGGAAAGAGTCCCTGGCACTGGGCGAGGAGTTGGGAACGTCTCCTGTTTGGAATTGGAGCCGTTCAGCTTTGTTGCCCAGAACTGGGCCTCCGTGCCCGTCCCACGCAGCTCAGGGGTTGAAAACCGGCTGTCTCGGGGCTGTTTCTAGCTGCGCGTGCCCAGAGAGGAACCCAGGCCCTTGGGGGCGGGCTGTACCTGTTGGAATTGGAGCCGTTCAGCTTTGTTGCCCAGAGCTGGGCCTCTGCGCCCGTCCCACGCAGATCAGGGGTTGAAAACCGGCTGTCTCGGGGCTGTTTCTAGCTGCGCGTGCCCAGAGAGGAACCCAGGCCCTTGGGGGCGGGCTGTACCTGTTGGAATTGGAGCCGTTCAGCTTTGTTGCCCAGAGCTGGGCCTCTGTGCCCGTCCCACGCGGCTCAGGGGTTGAAAACCGGCTGTCTCGGGGCTGTTTCTAGCTGCGCGTGCCCAGAGAGGAACCCAGGCCCTTGGGGGCGGGCTGTACCTGTTGGAATTGGAGCCGTTCAGCTTTGTTGCCCAGAGCTGGGCCTCTGCGCCCGTCCCACGCGGCTCAGGGGTTGAAAACCGGCTGTCTCGGGGCTGTTTCTAGCTGCGCGTGCCCAGAGAGGAACCCAGGCCCTTGGGGGCGGGCTGTACCTGTTGGAATTGGAGCCGTTCAGCTTTGTTGCCCAGAGCTGGGCCTCTGTGCCCGTCCCACGCCGAAACGGCATGTTTTAATTGTTTATTGATTTTTATTTCTTTTTCCTAGGAGTCGTTTTATTGAATGACTAGAAAGATCTTTAATTTGCAGGTTGGTTATTGTTTCTTTTATTCTGTTTCCTTGAAGTTGAGCATTGTGAGCGTGATGATATCGGTTGCCGCTTCTCAGAGGACAGCTTCGTGTCAGGCTGGCTAAGATTCTCTTGCTGAACCCCTTACTCAGGCTGGTCTCTCCCAGGGCCACGGCAAAAGGCTGCTGGATTCAGCCGACTCCAAGACCAAGTCACACTCCTCAACGGAAATAAGGAGATATATCCCGGGAACAACAGTGACAACAAAGATGACTCTAATTCTCGTGTTTGTCTGAGATCATACTTAACTTGATGTCGATGTTGTAATACTTCATCAATGATATATTCACATGGATACATTATTTGCCGAGACACACACACAGTTTTCATACTTAGGTTTTGACTGAATGAGATCGATGATGAGGTGTGCTCTGAGCTGCAAGCAGGTGCTTCTCACCAGTGGAGGCCAGGGAAACCCAGCTCTCCCAGTCTGCGGCAGTTTCATCTTTCTCCTGGTTAGTGAAGAGGCAGAGTTTAAGAATAGGAGCAGGTTGTGTTTGACTCGCACCAGAGTTGTTAAGGGACACTCGGAACATCCCCTGCTAAGAGCTGAAGAGGTCAGAGAGATAGATAGTATAGTGGGCGGGACAGTCGCCTCACTCAGTGACCCCGGTTCCATCCCCAGCACCAGCAGGAGGACCCCAGATCACAGAGCCAGGCGTAAGCTCTGAGTACCACCAGGTATGGCCCAAACACACACACACACACACACACACACACACACACACACACGCACACATATACACACACACAAATAAAATGAAATGAAAAGAACTGAGGTTAATCCTGTCTCTTTCCCAAGAAACCAAGAGAAAACTCTCCACGGTGTATTTTGAAGACACCCAAAGGTCTGCCTCCAGCAGACAGTACATGACGTGGACTTTTTCCTTTGACTTCAAGGTCCTTAAGCATCAGTGTTCTTCTCCGATGACCCCCCTCGCTGCCGAGGAAACGGATAATGTCCCGTCCTCTGGGATTCACTGTTGCTTATAGGAGCGGGCTATACATCGTTGGGTACCATTACCTCCCAGATCACAATGCATCTTCTTCTAGACATCCCAGGGAGATAATTTGGACATAATGAAGATCTATAGTAATCAGATAATTACTATCGATTGCTCTTTAGACATCTTGATGAGGTAATTAGGGTGTCCTGGAAAGAAGCTAGAACTGATTGATTGGCATGACTGTAATCTCCAAGATTTCTAATTATGTTTTTTTTCCTTCTAATGGCTTATAAACAAACATCGTTTTAGCTTTAGAATTTGTCAGGTGCCAGGTTCACTGGGAACATCAGCTTTCTCTCGTATGCTAACGAGACGTGAGCATGATCAACAGACGCTCATTACGCTTCCCACTGAAGCAGAAGAGACAGCAATTAACCCGCATTCTTCCGATCCGCGTCTTTCCACATGGCCAGACTCTGGTGGAGGGACAGCGTGTGAAGTGTGGGGGGCGGGTGTCTGTGGGGCACAGGGCTGGGTGCGGCGAGCCCGGGGGCCTCCCAGGACCCTCTGGGACCTTGAGTGGCAGGCATGCCATGCCACAGCATATGCGTCCCAGCAGCCAACTGGCTGGTGGCTGGCTGGGAGCTCAGGCCCGGGTCCCAGGTGGCAGCATTCCTGTCACTCAGCATCGATGCTCTCGGCAGCTGGACCAGGACAGCCTCTCGTCACTGAACTCTTGCCATATCTAATTAAACACTAATTAGAGGTGTCGTTACTGGAGTCCACGTTCAACATTGCCCCGATATGTCCCCGACCACGTGGGTTTCTGAAGCACTTTGCACTGTGAGAATGGTGACCTCACTCAGCGATGACGGTTGCAATGAGCTGTTTATGCCTTACCTGGGGCAGGGGAGCCGGGATGCATGAGGGTGCAGGGGCTGCACTCCTGCTGGAAAAGGGATATATCACCAATGGGAACCACCCCGATCCCTGCAGTACCCCTTCTGCTCTGCCCCTCTGTGCTTGGGACCCGTCAGATGCACTGTGGGTGCCGGTGTCACCAAATGGTTTGCTTCCCACCAGATTCTCAGCAGACAAGGGGATATGCAGCTAGGAAGACCCGTCGTGGCCCTCGATAACCTGCCTTGTTATGTTTGGGTCATTGCAGCCCTAGCAAAGCTGCTTCATTAAGTCACGTTCGGTGGCTTGAGGAATGGGGGAATATATAGAATTTGTCTTGGTGTTAAATCTCTATATACACAACGCATTTGTTGGTCCCTTACGGTACTTGAGAAATGAAGCGTTCTCTTACGTATTGCAGTGGTAGTTGTGGGGACTGCATCTCCCAGGGTTCGGGGGCAGGTGGTGCCAAAGCAAACCCAGAGCATCAACCTTAGCCACTTGCATGGCCTGAAGGTGTTATTTTAAAAAATAATTGGAAGTGCCCTTTAGTCCGGTGTTTGGTGTGGAAAAACCTTCCTAGCCAGGATCAGCATTTTTCTTCAGATAGGGCAGATACTGATCAAAGTTTGACTATTGTCACAATCAGAGTCATGCAATGGTTCTTGTGGGTAAATGATTAAGTAGAATTTTAATTAGCTTAATTCTGTAAAACAAATTGCAAAGGATTGTTTTATGTTGGTCGGGAGTGATAACACAGTGGTAGGGCATTTGCCTTGCACGCAGCCAACATGGCTGATGCCAGTTCGATTCCTCCGCCCCTCTCAGAGAGCCTGGCAAGCTACGGAGAGTATCTCACCTGGATGGCAAAGCCTGGCAAGCTCCCCGTGTCGTGTTTGATATGCCAAACACAGTAACAATTGTCACCATGGAGATGTTACTGGGCCCGCTCAAGCAAATCGATGAACAACGGGAGGACAGTGGACAGTGACAGTGTTTTATGTTTGAAAAATAATTGTTTGTTATTGACTGGTTTTACTAAATCCAAAATATGAGTTTGTTTTGTAAATATTTTTCACTGTCCTAAAAATTAACTGAAAATATGCATATGTTTCTGTATAATTCTACCTATTTTTCTTTCATTCGAGAGTCCTTCCCATGTGAAGTTCTGATTGTTCCTTCCCTGAACATGATTAGATATTCTACTTGGGATGGGGAGATAGTGCAGTGAATAAGGCACTTGCCTTGCATATAGTCGACCCAAGTTCAATCCTCAGATATCCCCGGAGTGACCTCTGAGCACAGAGCCAGGAGTAAACCCTGAGCACCAAAATCAAAACCCAAAATATAAAGCAAAAATATAAAGCTGTTCCGGTGTCCTGTTGGGAGTGTAGCCTGTGTGGATTTGTTGCACGGTCAGGAAGACTCAGCGTCACACAAGTTCAGGGTGTCCCTGGGCGTCACACGAGCATCGCACCGTCCACTCCCTGATCTGGCCATTCTGTTTTTCAAATGTCTCGTAGGAAGTTCTGCAGCTGGAGAGGCAGATGGGCGGGCAGCTCCTGGAGGAACCAAAGGCTCTTCACTTCAAAGGCAGTGCCCACAACCTGCGCCTGTCCATCCACGACCTCGCCCACTCCCACTGGAAGAGCAAGCTGCTCGCCAAGTACCAGGTAAGGGCCCGCTCGCGACTCGGGACAGCCAGGGCAGAAGAGCCAAAAAGTGTCGGCACACGGGACCTTCCCTTCCTAGAATCAGTCCTACCTGAGTTCTTCCAAAGTAGCTGGAGGAATGCCTTTTTCTTCTTGGCATTCCAGAAAGGAAAGAAATTATATGGTTGTTGAGTTGTTTTTAGAAAATAAGATACCCAAGCCCATCGTCTTGATTCATTTTCAGAGTTAATGTTGACTCCACTGACAAAAAAGAGCCAAGACAGCCAGACACCCGGTCCTAGAAAAGCATCACTGCATATTGCTCTAACATTCCACCCGCCTCAGGCTTGTTGAGGGTGCCTTTACACCGGAAATGTCCCGGGAACTCCAGTTGGGGAACTAAAGTAAAGAGAAATACGGGCGGGATGAATGAGCAGCGTAGCTGCACTCCTGCTCCCTGATCTGACACAAGTGCCCGGGAGGAGGTAGAGGACTTGCAGGGGTGTCCAGGCTCCGTCAGCCAGCCCTGTTCCTGCGGCCACTGTGATATTACACACGCAGGCCCGCTCAGAACAGCTGGGACCCTGGTCCTCACCTGTGTAGATGCTGTGCCCACCCCCCCACCCCCACTGCTCCCGGCTGGCTGTGATTTCTGACTTGGAGAACCTGCTGGAGGCAGACAGGGGAGACCCCTCCCCCCCCCCCCCCGAATCTGGGCTCATGCTCACTGCCCAAACCTTACAGACAACACACAGGCAAGAAAATTCCGAATTTGCAAGGGGTCTGACTCAGCCAGCACTTCACTGAGAGATCAGGGTTTGACTTTATCACTTCTTTTCTTTTCTTTCCTCCCTTTTTCCTACTTTGCAACTGCCAGAAAAGCTCACAATCTTCCCTTTTCGTAAGAGTTTCTTTAAGGGACTGGAGCAATAGCACAGCGGGTAGAGTGTTTGCCCTTCATGTGGCCGACCTGGGTTCGATTCCCAGCAGCCCATATGGTCCCCCGAGCCCCGCCAGGAGTAATTCCTGAGTGCAGAGCCAGGAGTAACCCCTGAGCGTCGCCGGGTGTGACCCAAAAAGAAAAAATAAATAAGAATCTCTTTAATACAATATTAAATGGGAATATAATAATGCAGTCTAGCATTAATTTAGTCTAAGTCTTGATAAACTCTGACCAACTCACGCACTGTGGTTTGTCTCATCCAACTGCAGCAGAGGGTGTGATTCACTTGCTTTCTATTTCACTGGTGAGGAAACTGAGGAACAGGTTAACACCAGGCTAAATAACTTGCCACAGTCACCAACTAACCCAGGGGAGGGAGGATATTATCTTTCTTGCTGAATTTTTTTTGCTTTTTGGGCCACACCCAGCGGTGCTCAGGGGTTACTCCTGGCTCATGCACTCAGGAATTACTCCTGGCGGTGCTCAGGGGACCCTATGGGATGCTGGGAATCGAACCCGGGTCAGCTGTGTGCAAGGCAAACATCTACCTGCTGTGTTATCTATTGCTCCAGCCCCAATCCTGCTGAATTTTCTATACTACCAGCTTCTACTGTTTATTTTCTAATTTTATTGAGACACTGTGACTTACAGAGTCACTCCTAGTTGAGTTCAAGTACGTGGTGTTCCAGCCCCATCCCGGTTAGTCTCCCTGCACCAGTGTCCGGGGGTCCTTCCCGGCCCAGCCTCCCCTACAAGGCGCATCTTGAAGTTTGGTTGCTGTAGTTGGGTCTCCTGCTTGCAGGTTCACACAAACAGATGTCCAGCATCTTCACTGCCAGTGTGTCCCAGATGGTCCCTGACCGTTCCCTCCCTTCCATGTCTTCTGGGCCCCCCTCACAGCCCCTGCTCTGATGTGCTGGAAAGACTCTCGGGTCACTCTCAGGGCGACCCGGGCATGTTCTTACCCTTTTTCAAGCATGGTACAGCCTCAGCTTGTTCCCTTCTCTGTCCTGTTGGCTGGCACCTAGTCTCATGCTGTCGTCCTCCCCACTTTTTTTAAAAATAATGTAGAAGTACTGCTATTTGTTCAGCCATTGATTAAGCTGATTGAATTGGGCATGAACTCCACATTACTTTTTTTAATTTTATTGTATCACTGTGAGATAGGGTTACAAAGCTTCCGTGTTCGGGATTCAGCCGTATAATGATGGAACACCCATCCCTCCATCAGTGCACGTTTTCCACCCCCGATGTCCCAAGTATCAACCCCCCTCACATACATACACATCACAGTCCTTACCCTGCCTCTGTGGCAGACAACTTCCCCAATATTCTCTCTCTAATACAGGGCATCATGTTTTTCTCAAATTTTCCCACCACCATTCAAGCCTGTCTGCCAGAGGCAGACACTAGATAATATGTTTTCCATTGCTCATTTTGAATTTCATGAGAAGTCGTGAAGCTGCGAAGTAAATGTACATTTCTAGATTGTAAGTGGTTGGGTTCCAGAGACACCTCTGTACGGCACTAATCCCTTTTGGGATTCAATTGGGCGTCTCTGGGCCAGGGCTATTGGTGAGCTAAGATGGCACCCGGAGGCTAATTGTGGGCATGACAGCCAGTCTTCTGGGCGGGCGGGGACCCAGGGAGGGACAGCCCAGGTCCTCTGCTGCCATGCGGCCTAGAGTTTCAGTCCAGAAATCCACATACCTGGGCCTTGCTTGTGGACACTCTTGGTCTTTGGGATTCCATCTGGAGTGCAGCCCCCTTTGTGATGGTCTCCTAGACCCCCGTGGACCATGGTGCGGGCCTCGAGGCGGGTACACATGCCCGCTCAGGAGACGCCACTGGGGCCTCTGGCTCTCTGCATCAGCTGACCCGGCATGCAGTGTGCAGGCTGAGCTCCGGCATCCTGCGTGTGTGTGGAAGGGGCCTGTGTGCCGGCCTTTAGACTCTCCCCTTCCCTCCACAAGGGCACCGCGGGGATTCCTTTTAATGAGCAAGGCCTGCAGTGCTGGGTTTTATCTGAGAAACATTCTAAACTTTCAGACTCCGTTGCAAGGCCCGTTTTGGTAAATGAGAGACGAGTGGCGGGTTGGTTCGGCCGATGGTTCTGGCCTTGAATGCCCGCTCGGCCGCTCCCCCTGAGGGTGTGGCTGTGGTCTGCCCGGCTTGGTCTCAGCGTGTTCCTAGCAGGGGTGGCGGGGTGGCGGAGGGTGCCAGGACTGTGCAAAGGATGGAGAGAGGAGGGTGAGGCTGGGTGCTCGGACGGTCCTCACTCTTGGCGTCTCTCCTCCCCTCCCCGCAGGAGATCCCCTTCTCGCATGTGTGGGGCGGCTCCCCACGGCTCCGCCACTGCACCTTCACCCTGGAGAGGCTCAGCCGGAGCACCGTGGAGCTGGTCTGCAAGCTCTGTGTGCGGCAGGTGGAAGGCGAAGGGCAGATCTTCCAGCTGAACTGCACCGTGTCCGAGGTGAGGCGTCCTGTGTCTCCAGGACGAGGCCGGGGACGAGGGTCGGGTCACTGGCGTTCCCGGGGATGGTTCTCAGTCGCTTTCCCTGACTCCCACTGGTCTATAGACTGTGCTTCCAATGAACACAGGGGGCTAAATACAGACAAAATGGAGCAGAGAATTCTTCCTGAAAAGGAAGACTTGTTATCCTAAAAGCATAATTTCAGAGGCTGGAGTGATAGCACAGCGGGTAGGGCATTTACCTTGCACGTGGTCAACCCGGGTTCAATATTTGGCATCCCATATGGTCCCCCGAGCCCCACCAGGAGTAATTCCTGAGTGTATGAGCCAGGAGTAACCCCTGAGCATCACTGGATGTGACCCAGAAAGAAAAAAAAATACATGATTTCATTTAAAAAAATTCTAAACTGGGCTGGCTAAACAGTGCAGCGGATAAGGCACTTGCTTTGCATGCAGCTGACGTTGGTTCAATGCCTGGCCCACGCAGGGTCCCTCAGGGCCCCCCCAGGAGGGATCCCTGAGCACAGAGTGGGAGCAAGCCCTGAGCACAGCCGGGTGCTGCCCCAGAGCAAGAGCAAACAAGAAATCTAAACCGACCCCACTTATTTTCAAAATAAGAATCAATCCATGTATCGCCCTATGCAGAGGATTCTATGACATACTGTAGCTTACTCCCACTTCAAGGTCTTCATGTAAAAGCATCGTCCTGAATAAAGAGGGTGCTACTGAATGTGAAAATTGGAGGTCATTTTGTTTTTCTTCTTTTTCTTTAATCTCTTTTTTTAATTTTATAAGTTAGTTCACAATATTTGACTACATTTAATATTCAAACTCCAATCCCACCATGATGACACCTCCCCACCACCAATTCGGAATGTTTCCATCCCAAGCCCCAATCCCTGTCCCAAAACACAGCTGAAAGAATAGCGATAGCACAGCGGTAGGGTGTTTGCCTTGCACGCAGCCAACATGGCCCACCCGAGTTCGATTCCTCCACCCCTCTCGGAGAGCCCGGCAAGCTACCGGGAGTATCTCGCCTGCATGGCAGAGCCTGGCAAGCTCCCCCTGACGTATTCGATATGCCAAACACAGTAACAACAAAGTCTCCAATGGAGACGTCACTGGGCCCGCTCAAGGAAATCGATGAACAACGGGAGGACAGTGACAGTGATTGTCTGTTATGAAGAACTGCTGAACATGCTTACAAAAAAAGTGTTCATAGAGGAAACAGTGTGAAGATGGTTCTATTTTGGCAGGAGCCATTAAGACATTCTATAGGATATCACTGACATGTTGTTAAAGTTTGGGTGATGTGAGCTTTGATATATATATATATATGTATATATATAAATATATATATGAAAATAGGTATATATGCATACATATATATATTTCCCTCTACGATTTGTTGCCTACTGTCTGAACCCCATCCAATGTGGTGTGGTAATTATGGAGAATGAGTAGGGAGTGTCTTATGATGTGTCCAGGAATATGTTCACTCATCTGTGAGGCTTGTCCCGAGCTTGTGGGGAGCATTGAAGTGGTTGGGTAGTGGAGGTTGGCTGCTGGGTCCCTTGGGGCAGGGAGGGCTCTCATTTGCCCCCCTCTGGGGTGCCCCGAGTGAAACAGCCTGGCACGGAGTCCAGTGGCATGGGCATGGGGGCCTCATGTTATGCTCCCTTCCGGGAGAAGCAGCTGTATGATTTGGATGGTGGCCGATGACCCAGTTTGTTTTTTTCTTAGTAAGTGGACGGCTCGTGTTCCAGCTTTGGGATGCAGTTCCAAGTGGAAGGACTTAGAAGGGCACATGGCGAAAAGGCCTCTCCGCGCTGGCCGTGCAAAGCCCTGTCCTCTGGGTGACTGTGCCTCATCTGCCCTGGTGCGGCTGAGCGGGGCAGGACAGGAGCCGTGTCTCTCCCAGCCTCTCACTCTCTCTTGAAAGCAGAGATCTCTTGGTCTCCTCTGCTCCTCTGCATCACTCTCCGGACATCAGACAGTTGCTCTTTCCTGGGGCTGAAAAGACGTGCCCGGACAGAAGTCAGCTCCAGGGACAACCCCCTGCCCCAGCCTTTGACCTTCCTGTGAGACACAGTTCACTCACTCCAACCGGGCAGGGTTCTGTGTCCATTGCAGAAACAACGGTGGTCGCAGCTGATTACAACTTGCCCATGCACCAAGAGGGGGTGCACGTCCCCTGCTCTGTCACTGAGACCCCAGAGCTGGGTGCGGGGCGGGGGGTGGATGGTGGGAAGTCGCCTTCACAGTGGAGAAACAAGGGAGGTGAGTGAGCTCAGTGGTCAGCTGCATCTGCAGGCCAGAACAGGCTGCTTCCTCCCTCCCCAAAGCCTGCCCAGGTGCGGTCAGCCTCTCATCCGGGGCTGTCAGAAGATGTTTGGCTCAGAAGCGACGTTCGTCACAGAGCCCGGTGACATTCAGAAGGCAGGAGCTCCGAGTCCGGGTGCCATGGCAACGCCGGCGGGAGGCACCCTATCTCTGGGCATGCCATACCTCTCCCGCAGGCTCCCAGGGTGCTTTCACTCTCGGCCCAGCAGGGCTGCAAAGTTCAATAACCACCCAGCTCCCGGGACAACAAAGGCCAGGGAGTCTGGGGAGGGGCGAGGGGCCCGAGCCTGCCTTTGATGCCGGCTTCCCCAGCGATGAAAGGCGGCTCAGATGCAGCCATGAATAACGCAGCCTGCACGGTTCAGCCGCTGGGAGGAGAGCCTGGCCGCCGTGGAGGGCGTCTTTGCTGTGCTAGCCTGTAGGACCCTGGCTTCTCTGGTCTGGGAGCCACACCCTGCAGTGCTCAAGGCTGACTCCTGGCTCTGTGCTCAGGGATCACTCCTGGAAGGGCTCAGGGGACCCCGGGGGGTTGCAGGGGACTGAACCCAGGTTGGCCGTGTGCGAGACAAGTGCTGCCTGCTGGACCAGCACTCCAGCCTCCACTGCTTTGAACTGATGTTTAATCTTTTCATTGCCTGAGAGGCTGCGCGTCCTCGAGCATGTAGCCCCAATGCCACGGCCCTTTTCCGCTTCCTGGCAGAGGTGGGGGGACAGCGTGGTCAGGCAGACCACAACCTGGGCACCCAGGGGGCCGTGTGTCCCTTCCTCTGGGCCATGGGGCACCACCCATGTTCTCTGAGTGTTGGGTGTTCCGTGGGGGTGGGAGTGCAGGTGCCCTGACCCACCAGGTCTCTGGGGAGCTCGGAGTCTCTCTGGGCCCCCGTTCCCAGCAGGGGTTGGAGAAGGGAGCCCCGGGGTCACCCAGTGAAGGGAAGAGCCTGTTTGTGAGTCTGCCTTGGGTGGGGCCGCGGCTGCAGGCAGAAACAAGGTCTCAGGCCGATGGCTGGAGGGCCACCCCACGCCCCCTGCAGCCTCTGCTGCCCCATGCTGGGCTTGCCTGGGCTCTCTACCCCTCATGGGCACCTGCCCCCAGGAGCTGCCGCACTGGACCTCTGTGCAGCCGGCAAAGCTGACCCTTCTTCTCCAGATTGTTCTCTCACCAGAGAGCCTATCACCAGCACCGCTGAGGAAGGCACATGTCTGGGGGAGTGAGAGGAGTCTGGGCATGGATGAACGTCATGTGTAAATCATGCCTCAGGACTTTTTCCTCACTTTTATTTCTAAAGGGTCTGAGGGGATTGATAATGGGAACTCTCGCTCCCTGCCACCATGCAAAAACTAGAGAGAGGAGAAAGGGAGGTTAGAATTCTCGCCAGGGCTCCCTCTGAGCTCCGACTGCTGACAGAGATGCCCCAGAAGCCAGCTCTCTGGGGACACGGCAGCAGCACGCCGCGCCTGACAATCTCTTGCCTCCATTTTCCCCAACTCCCCAGTCGATCTAAGAAATGTCTATGTGTGGCACGTTGTGAGAATCGAACGTCTGCTCTGAACACAATGTGCCCCCGCCCCAGCCCCTCCAGCTACGGTGTTCCAGGCTCTGAGGTGACCTTCAGAGCAGAAATGTTTACAAACCTGGACAGCTAGGCAAGATAGATAACTACAGCAGCCCAACAAGTCCAGGTTAGCCCCAGAAAGGACCCTTGAGTATTCCTCTCTTCGTTGCTTCATCGCCTCTGAGCCAAATTTCGGAAAAGGCAGAACTTTAAGGAGGCAGTTATAGCTCTCTGTTTCAATCATCAATTTCCAGGTTATTATTATTATTCTTTTTCTTACCGTTGCTAGAAACCTCTTAGATATGAAAATGCACACAGGCCCTTGGTGCATCCACGAGAATAGGAATCGTGTCCTGCTTCCTGTCTCAGTGCGAGCCAGGTTTCTCTCTCCATCTTCTGTAACCGTAGGGAAATCTAAAGTTTTAAGTCCCTTTAGGCACAGTCAGAATGTAGGAGCTGAAAGTGGCTCTCCCATTGGGCCTGGTGAAGTGAGCTGTCGTGCACAGCGACTGTCAGATTATCGTTGAGGAATCATATGATCGTGTGATCACAGAGGTAATCATAGCATCAAAGCCAGATGGTCCCAATATCATAAAAAAATTTTGGAATAAGCATCTATGTAATAACAGTACAACTTAGAATTTTATTTTTTATTTTATTTTATTTTGCTTGTTAGGTCACACCCAGCGATGTTCAGGGGTTATTCCTGGCTCTGCACTCAGGAATTACTCCTGGCAGTGCTTGGGGGACCCTAAGGGATGCTGGGAATCGAACCCAGGTCAGGCGTGTGCAAGGCAAATGCCCTACCCGCTGTGCTATCGCTCTGGCCCCTAATTTAGAATTGTAGATGACACAGGCCACAAGAACCTTTTCCATCTGCCTCCAAAGCCACTGCCGGCCACCAGGTTAAGAGAGACAGAGAGTGAGTTCTTGTGCCATGCACGTAACTGGCCACCCCAGGAAACAGTGGGCAGAGCCCTGTGGCTTTATACTCATCTCCCATGGGGGCCCATGGGTACGCACTAGCTCCCCTCTGCGAGGGAAGTCCTTCTCTCTCATTTCAGCAGATCCAGACTAGATCATGCCCAGGTGCAGGGCACATGTGGTGCCAACAGCAGGTTTCTGAGGTGGGCAAAATGCAAAGTTCTCACCTCTGAGAGATCAGGTGGCCAGAGATACAGGAGAACGAAGGTGTGTCTCTGTGTTCTTCCACAGTTCCTGGGTTCTTTAATATTTTCAAAAGAGAAAATGTCAAGTAATTAAGATGCTCAAAGTTAGGAGATAGAAAAGTTTATTGGAAAGTTGAAGAGAAAGTAACTCCGCACACAGGCAGGAATTGGGTGTAAGACTTAAATTAAACATGACTTGTCTTGTGGGATTTCATAGCAACCCTGGGTCTCTGCCAGGGGTCCTACAGAGTGGTCTGGCTAGTTCAGGCCTTTTGGGTTCTTTGTTTCAGGGATTTCCCTTAGGTGTTGCCCATTATCTCAGTCTCCCAGGGGCCAAGGCTCTGGGGCAGAATTCACAATCTTGGGAACTAGATAATTCCTTCCCCGGGAAGAGCCCAAAGTTCTCCAGGAGTGTTTTTGAAGTGTGGAAAGGACACAGCTAGGATGGAGCTGCCTGTGGCAGCTGTCCAGGGAAAGGCTCTTTTGCAAGGTCGCACAGATAGAATCTGCAGACAGAGGACAGAAGTGCAGATGGTGAGCCTGAGGGGTGCGGGATCACGCCCCCACGCTCTGCTCCCAGCACACGCCTGGACACCAGTGAGGGGTCGGCCCCTGGGGACGGTGGGAATCACATGTGCGTCCTGAAGAACACCAGCAGAAACAGCGAGGGGCCCACTGTGTGGACGTCTGGGTCTTGGTGTGACTCTGCCCGCCCCGTGTAGGTATGGCCGGGGAGGGCCCGGCTCCGGGAAGGGGGGGGGGGCTAGCTCTGCCATTCCCAGCTGGGCTGCTCGTGCCTGAGACCCTCAGCAACACACTTTGTGCAAGTGCCTTTCGGGTCGGATTCGGAATGAGGCCTCTGTGGTCAGAGGTGCATTGGACTTCTTAAAAAAAGAGACTGTGGAGAGAAAAAACATTGACACAGGGTTCCAGGAAGCCTGGTCTGGTGCCAGGGTTGGATCCAGGGAGGGTATCACAGTGGTCAGGAACACAGGTCTGAGGGTCAGCACTCCAAAGGGCAGACTCTGTTCAGTCCCCGCCCCTGCGCCAGTCCCTGGGAGATGGGCCCGCTCGCAGGTATGGCTGCTTGAGTGCCCACCCATGACTGTCACCCTACAGCAGAGCAGGAAGGGCCTCTGCGTTGGCAGAGGTGCTGGACGTGGAAGCCAAGGCTCATTTCTCCTCACCTGTGCACACGGATCGCTTGATAACCAAAGCGTTGGCCACTCGGACTCAAAGCCATTCAAACAACGGGATGGGCCTTTGGGCCACCCCAGGCCAACCCCTGCTTAAGTCTACACCCCAAGGTCAGAAATCACCTGTTCTCCATGTGCCGTCCGATGGGCAGTGTCCTCTGAGAAACTACCGGGCATGCAGGATTCCTCTGGGCTTCACACTATTTTCCCCACACTTTTCGTTGTTAAATTTTAGCTTCCCTTGACCTTGGACTTTTGAACTTTGTGACCTTGGACTCTGGACTCAACAGGACCTTGAAGCAGAGATGCTCTGCCTGCTTCCCCCAGTCTCTGGTGACCCAGAGGTCACATCCATAAGCCACACCCTGATGGTGCCAGATAATCTCATCAGCCTCCCTCCAGAACTCAGAGCTGCTCCTCCCAGAAGGGAGCATAAAATGAGGCCCCCATAACCATGCCACAGACTCCGTGCCAGGTTGTTTTCACTCGGGGCACTCCCGAGGGGGTCAGGTGAGAGCCCTCCATGCCCCAAGGGACCCAGTCCCGGGAGCCAACCTCCACTACTCAACCACGCTCCAGGCCACTTTCCAGATGCATTATAAGATACTTCCTACCCATTTTCCATAACTACCACACCATGTTTGATGGGGTTCAGACAGTAGGCAACAAAACATAGAGAGAAATATATATATATATGCCTCTTGGAATGCCCAGCAAGCTACCAAGAGTATCCCACCCACACAGGCAGAGCCTGGCAAGCTCCCCATGGCATATACGATATGCTAAGACCGGTAACTATAACAGGTCTCATTCCCCTGACCCTGAAAGAGCCTCCAATATAGCAGCCTTGGGAAAGACGAGTAAGGAGAGGCTGTTAAAATCTCAGGGCTGGGATGAATGGAGACACTATTGGCGCCGGCTGGAGTAAATCGACCAACAACGGGATGGCAGTGACAGTGGCAGTGACAGCTTCCCTTGACACCTGATATGAACACTGTGGTTTACAGAGTTGCTCATGATGATTTTTTACAGGCGTTCAATACACCAACACAAATCCCACCACCATGACCTCCAATTTTCCCAGCGCCCCTCAAGTCTGCCCTCAAAGCAGGCCCTCAGTAGTTTATTTTATATTGCTTGTTATGACTTGGAAGGCAGCTATGCTAGCCACTATACCACCAACGCTAGCACAGCAGTAGGGCGTTTTCCTTACAAGTGGCCAACATGGCCTACCCGAGTTCGATTCTTCCGCCCCTCTCAGAGAGCCTGGCAAGCTACCGAGAGTATCTTGCCCGCAGGGCAAGCTACCCGTGATGTATTCGATATGCCAAACACAGTAACAAGTCTCATGATGGAGACGTTACTGGGCCCGCTCGAGCAAATCGATGAACAACGGGGTGACCGTGACCGTGACCGTGACCATTATGACTTTCAAAAATAATGGTCAAAAAAGGTTTCTTCAGACGTTAGTGAAGATTGTTGTTTCTCCCCAAGGAGCCCTTAAGTCCTTGTAAGAGATCAAGGACTTGTAAGGGGCCAAGGCTCTGGGGCAGAATTCACAATCTTGGGAACTAGATAATTCCTTCCCCGGGAAGAGCCCAAAGTTCTCCAGGAGTGTTTTTGAAGTGTGGAAAGGACACAGCTAGGATGGAGCTGCCTGTGGCAGCTGTCCAGGGAAAGGCTCTTTTGCAAGGTCGCACAGATAGAATCTGCAGACAGAGGACAGAAGTGCAGATGGTGAGCCTGAGGGGTGCGGGATCACGCCCCCACGCTCATCCAAGTCCTGGTATGTGTGGGAGCTCACACAAGGGACCCCTATAATCCATGGACCAAGTCAGTCAAGTTGTATTAATTCTGCAATCACAGCCACCACCACAGAGCAGGAAATTCTAACGGCTCTTGAGTGCTGCCTAGCCCAGCGGGGCCTAAGCATGGACAGCCTGGCCGGACACAACCCGGCTGACCTGGCCTAGCCACAGGGCCTCTTGCTCTCACTCATGTAGCTGTGAGGAGACCCTGAGAAATGGTGTAAGGACCTCTAAGACTTGCACTCAGTAGGATGACAGAGGTTTTAGAATGGCTGAGAGTCTTTGTGGCTAGTTTACTGCCCGGAAGCTAATGACATACACCCTGCAGGCAGCTGCTTTTTAAGAAAGAGCGGGGATACTTAAAGTGCATTAACTAGGTTTTCTTTCATTGCTTTAATAGTTCCCAGGTAACATTTGCTTTGGCTTCTTCAGTCAGCAGAAGTGATCGGGAAATGATCATAGAGTTTCTCCTGCAGATAAATTTCAGATTTTTGCATGTGTGCTGCTTTATGAGCTGAAACTATTTTCAGAGCCAATTTATGGCTTTCTCTACTAAAATTAGATACGAAACGCAGCACGCAACCACACTCGGTGATGCCGGTAGCAGCTTGCCCTACGGCAAGACACTGGCTCACCATTTTCTCTAGAACAACAGGGCGTCCCTTTGATGTTATTAAGAGAAGACTCCGTTTCAGTCTTTCAAGGCAAAACCCAGCACCTCCGGCCCATGTTAGAATGTTTTCTCAGGCCAGGCCTTCTCCCCGGGGTCAGGCAGTTGCTAGAAGCTCTGTAGGGCCAGTCTGTTGGCTCAGATCTGTCTCTTCACCCCCAAAGAACGGGCCTTTGGAACATTTCTCTGACCCTAGGGAGCATCTTCCCTCTCACCAGGAGAGTCCCACTAGAACAGCTGGTATTGAGTTACGCGAAATACCTGCCTGATTCAGTCCTCACCCAAACGCAAGAACCCGAGGCCACGCAGGAGGCAGCTGGAGAGGCAAAGCCTTGCTCCAAGCGGGGCTCCAGGCAGGGAATCACGGCTTTCTGCCAGAGGAGGAGAGTGAGGACACGCATCCCTTCTCGGCACTCAAAGCAGGCACTGTGCGCGCTGGCGTGGCCGGGCTCTGTTGTCCTCAGGAATAACGCTGCTCTGTCCCCACGTCCCCCAACAGGAGCCTACTGGCATGAACCTGCCTCTGCTGGACCCAGCAGACACCGTCACCACCATGACGGGGCCCAGAGCCTTCAGCATCCCGCCCCCCATCCGGCAGAAGCTCTGCAGCAGCCTGGACGCCCCCCAGACCCGGGGGCACGACTGGAGGATGCTGGCTCACAAGCTCAGCCTGGACAGGTGGGTGTGGCCGGGCCAAGGCGGAGAGGGGAGGTGACCTTCTCCTGTCCGACGCTTGCTTACTCTTCTCCGCGGGCGTGTGGTAAGAGGCTCCTTCTCGCCAGGAGCTGGCCAGGATGTGGCGAGCGCTTCTCCACAGTCAGGAGTATCAGGTTCGGTGACACGACGCTCAATTTCCCTAAGTAGTCTAATCACTCCCTAACGTGATTATTGTTCCTCACCTCTTGTTGAGCAAACCTAATGCTCTGTGGATAATGAACACGCTAATAAATTCGACATCGATATGAAGTCCTGGAGACCTGCAGAGCCCCCTCTGTAAGCGTGCTGCCATCACGAGCCCACCCCAAACGGCCTGCCATGTCAGAGAGGACGGACAACACCCTTGCACTTCCTGGGCAGGGTGAGGGACGTCTCTGAAGCGCTCTCCCTCCGAGTTGAGGTTAAAGAGTTAAACATGGCATGTCCTGTTTGAGCTGACCTAATGAAGTGGAGGCTAGTCCTCCAGCATGCTCCTCAAAGACACAGTTTGTCCCGGGGAGGGGAACAGGAGACCTGAGAAAGAGATGAGAGCCACGAACATTCAGTGAACACCGAAGGGGAACCCGGTCCTTAGAGCACTCCACTGAGCACCTCTTCCCGTTCTCCCTTACAGGTACTTGAATTACTTTGCCACCAAATCGAGCCCGACCGGTGTGATCCTGGATCTCTGGGAAGCCCAGAATTTCCCTGATGGAAACCTGAGCACGCTGGCAGCCGTCCTGGAAGACATGGGGAGACATGAGGCAATCGCATCGCTCGGGGCAGAAGGGCAGTACTGAGCCCACTGTCAGGGAAGGACGGAGGGGAGCACAGAGGGAGTCTGTGTTGGTCCAGGGACCACCGCGGAGAAGGAAATCCAGACGAGACCCATGAGCTTCAAGCGAGACCGCAGCCGGAGGGAGCAGGAACACACCTACGAGTCCGTGCCCACGTTTCCGACAGCATCCCAGGCGTTGAGAACCAATGTGTAAATTTGTACCTTGAATTTAGAAGTCAACCGAATGTTCTTCTTAGTAGGGCTGTATGCTGTGTGGTACAGGATCTTACAGTTTCCTAGGAAACGCGTTTTATTGCTATCCAGATCTATGGATAAACTTTCTTAACAAACCCAGTTTCTACAAACGTTGTTTACATCCAATTGGACAGGGAGACCGGCACCATCCGGGGCTGGTTCTGTTTTTTTGTTTAAATCATTTGAAGTTGAAGCTGTGGATGGTATATTGTGTCTCTTTCAGATGAGTCATTTATAGAGAAATCACAGACTTTTGCTACAAACCCCGAGCGTCCAGTTTCTCAGACCGTCCCTCCTCCAGTGTTCTGCTTCTAGAAGCTGTGAGAAGCAGCGTTGCGTTTTTGTATCAGGGAAGTGGAGAATCCATGCGGGAAGGAGCAGTCAGGCTCCGTGTCCGCCGAGGCGTCTGCCTGGTGCCCTCTGGGGAGAGAGGGACAGCATTGCAGGGAGACAGGTTTTTGTTGGGCCACACAACAGGCGTTCCTTCACAAAGTGTGTGTTTGTAACATGCAACTTGAAGCGGTATTTTAAAACAGGTATTATTGTTACCATTGTTAGGGAGTATCTACAGGTATCCTCGTACAGGGATTTTTTTTTAAACTTCTGTTTTTTTAGCAGCAGTATTAGTATTGAGCGGTCGGGTAGGCGGCCCCACCTCCTGGACAGTGTGGAACTGGCTACCGATTTCAGTCAGCAGCCTCTGAACTTTCTCCCGTCACTCCACCTTGAACGGGAGCAAACATCCCCTGACTTCCCTTGGTGCGTCGCTGTTCTTTTAGCTGGCTCAGGCAGGGCCTGGCGCCCAAGTCTTACAATGAGAAGTACTGTCCATAAGAGGCCACTTGTGCCCTGGTCATGTGGCTAATACCGAGTGCCCTCAAACTTCGTCTACCTTAGAAGCAGTGTGGTTGCAGGCATGAGCTCTGTATTGGAGATAAGGACACCTTTTCTCGTGCTGGCCAGTGGTTTTCTAGCTGAGCTACCATGGGGGAAATATCCATGTCACTGAATCTCAGTTTCCTCATTTGTAGCATTAGGAGCTGGTTAGTTTGGCTCTTCTTAGAGTTTCTAAAGGTGGGACTTACGCACTTCCGCTGAGATGCTCCTGATTCGTACACCAGGTGAAGACCACATGAACTGTGAGCTGGTCTCTGCCAGCTCGTCTTTTGCCCAGGCTACAGTATGCCTTTGAAACCGTCCCACCTTGGAAGAAGCCCACCTGACCCTGTCGCATGTGCATTATGCTTTAAGTCTTGTTTCTGTGTCCTTGCATCCTGCTGTTGGCTGAGAGATGGCTCACCCACTTTCCTACTCTCTCTGGTGGCCGCCTGCCTTCCTGTATAGTTGCGAATCCTTTCCAAGTATTGTCTTGGTCAAAAAGTTTTCTAATTAGAAAAAATTTAACCTGAAATAGAGTTAGTCCACAGACTACATCGTGTAAAGTATGGTTCTCCCTGGGGCCATTGTGGTATTCGCTTGGGCCGTGACAGGCTTTGTTTTGTTGCAGAGACTCAAAATATTCAGCAACCCAGTCTAGGAACAATCACGAAGAACAAGCATCCACGTGTATGAATCAGAATATTCAAAATGTGGTTGTGGTGTAATGCTTCTGGGGCTAATGACACCCAAGTTACTGAATGGATCTGAAATAGAAATCGTTTAGTCTGGGGCTGGAGTGATAGTACAGTGGGTGGGCATTTGCCATGCACGAGGCTGAGTCAGGTTCGAACGCCAGCATCCTGTATCGTCCCCTGAGCCTTGCCAGGAGTAATTCCTGAGCAACAGAGCCGGAATTAGCTCCTGAGCACTGCCAGGTATGATCTGAAAACAAAGAGGGGAAGGAAGGAAGGAAGGAAGGAAGGAAGGAAGGAAGGAAGGAAGGAAGGAAGGAAGGAGTCATAGAATCATTTCATCTATTTTCTCTCTTCATCAATTATATTGGTAACCTCTTGACACCCCCAGCCCCCTCTGGTCATCACTGAGGAGCAGTGGACGTTGCTACAGCTTCTTCCCTTCATGCTCAGTATCTTGCCTTCTGCTTTTAGTGTCAGTTCTGTTATCCGCCCCTCTCAGGCTACCCCCTGGACAGTAGATAAGAATGAGATGTCTCAGTCATAAGCAATTACAGTGGACAATATTTGTGCCAGTGAATATTTGATCAAAAGACAGTAAATTTGGACTCTCCATAAGTTTCTAAGTAGTACTGTAGCTCTGTCCTCCCTTGTTCATCCATTTGCTTGAGCAGGCACCAGTAACATCTCCATTGTGAGACTTGTTGTTACTGTTTTTGGCATATCGAATACTCCACGGGGAGCTTGCCAGGCTCTGTAGTGCAGGCAGGATACTCTCAGTAGCTTGTTGGGCTCTCTGAGAGGGGCAGAGGAATCGAACCTGGGTCAGCCACATGCAGGGCAAACACTCTACCTGCTGTGCTATCGCTCCAGCCCAAGTTTCTAAGTAGATGTAAAAATTAAAAAGGCAGAGAAGGAGGAACAGGGGATATTGACCATTGTTGCCTCTTGAATGGCGTCTTAAATTTGCTTGTCATCACTGGTCTGAGGACGCTGTCATCTCTGGGAAATCAGTAACTGGAAATCTTAAGGATGCTCCAAGGAACAGTTCATGTCTTATGAAGAGCAGAAGGAAGTAAATATGTCCCCATGCAGATAGGCGGGTTCCGAACTCCCTGAGTTGTCCACACAGGAACCTGGGTTAGAACGTGAACCATATTCTAAGCCATGGGGGCCTCTGGGGTTCACTGAAGATGCTCAGTTCCTTGGTTCAGCTTCCAAGGCCCAGAAAGGAGCCATTGTTTCCTGTGAGGGGCTCGCCCTGGTACAACTCTCTGTCCCATTCCCTGCAAGTGAACGCACATATGCTCAGCCGGAGGAGCTTGGGCTGTCTCGTGGAAGCTGTAAGCTCAACACCACAGTTATGCCAAGGTTCTAGCTGCAGTTCTGACCGCCTTCCTTTCGGCAGTCGAGTCAGAGCTACCGGCTCACTCCAGGGCTTGGAAGGCCCAGCTGACGCTTCCCACGCGGCCTCAGCGCTGCCTTCCTACAGATGTGCCCCATGTGAGGAGAGGGACCCTCTCACTTGTGTGTGGGGCCATCTAGTGGCGGCAGCACAGCCCTCCCCGAGCTCAAAGAGCCCCTGGAAGGGGTTTGGCTGAGGATTGAGTGAATCCCGGGTAGAATCAGCACAAGTTTTATGACGCAGCTGTGCGGGCCATCTCACTTCCTCTAATACATAGTTTTGCTATGCTCACGTTTCAGTTACTTGGTCCGTGACTCAAAGTTCCCATCTCATTCTGAGCATCACCTGCCACCAAGAAGACAGGACTCAAGGGGTTCTTGGTCATAGAAATAGGTTAAAATCTATACAGAAGAGTTTTGGAGGAGTTGTCAACCTTCACACACTTTCCACTGGGGCTTTTAGGTGTTTTTAATCTCCTGACTTTTAGTTCTCTATTTTTGGAGATGTGAGAAATAGTCATATTCGCTTAGAAGGAAATGCTTTATACACACAGAAGATGACAGACAGAGAACCTGAAAACGGTGGTTGTTGATCAAGAAACATGAATCGTCCCCTTTTTGGTTTGGAACATTGGCAATGGCTCCTTTCATCCTTCATTTCTTTTTACCACACTCCTTTCGCTTAAGAGATTTAGAAGGAACAAGCGTTGAGTCGTTGACTGGGTCCCTCTAATGTCGGCCGCAGTCCGGGAGGTCACTAGCTGTCCTGTTCTCACCAACAGCGTAAACCCACAGAGATACCCACTGCCACTCCACTGCAAACTCGCCGCCCTCACGGAAACCAAAGGCAGGACGATGCTTTGGGTGAGGCATAAACCATCTGCAAAGGGTCGGTGAGGTTCTGATATGCTGCTACGGACCCGTTCTTCAGGGAGAAACCAGAGGGAGGAGTGTGGGTCCTAGGGAGCATGCCATAGGTCATCTTGGCCTCCCCTCTGAGTCAGCTGCTGTGAAGGTGAGCGCTTAGACGGTGGCCTCAAGGCTTTCAGTCTGGAGCGGAGTAAACACTGCTCTGCTCTTCTGAACACCCACATTCCTTCTGTAGGGACCCCGTAGCGAGCACTTCTCTGGAGCCATCAGTTAGGGGAATGGAGAGGAAGGTGGGCCCTCGGCAGGACTCACCAGGCTTCCCCCTTGCAGTCTCCCCCGAGGTCTGGACCCAGCAGACCCAGGTCTGGCCCCTCACAGAGTCCGGGAGGTGAGGAAACTCCAGGTGGAGTTCCAGCCTGACTAAGCGTCCGGTCCAGCTCTGACCAAGTGGTTGCTCCGGCTGGCTGCCGTCCTCGCACGGAGACATCAGTTCCTCTCCACACCCGGTGACAGAGGAAGGACCATGGAAACAACCGGAGTGAAATTGGGGTTCATGCATGTTTTTTGAGAACAGAGGAACTTTTGTGAATCAGAATGTCATTGCCCAAAGCCAGTTATTATTTGTTAAGATGATAATGGTCAATGAGTATTAGATTTTATATATCCAATAAGGAAGCTATTTTTATTATTATTATTATCTCAAGGTAATAAAGCATTTTTTACCTTTTGAGTGCCTCATAGGACCAATGATTACACGGTTTGTTTTTGTATTCTTCTTTTTAACCTTACTGAACTGTTAACTGAAATCCATAGAATTTTGTGTCTGTGCAAAGAAGTGCTATTTCTCTACCCTACAAAAGTCTCTTTGTATAATCCCTCACTGTATGTCTCCCTTTGAAGATTTCCCTTACATTTCTAATGA